GCGCAAGTGGGAGGCCTGTCTCTGTGTCTGCTCCTCCAGCCCAGCTGCGAGTTGGGTGTTTCATCTGCTTGGAATCCAGACCTGCCGCCTCTTTACAAAGCTAAACCAAGTGGCTGCTCTCAGCGGAGGCTTTTCTTCTAAGACAAAGTTCTGCAGATTCAACCCTCTTAACTTCGTCATGGGCCTTAATTAAAGCGAGTTTGCCTAACCTGGGACAAAAGTCCCGGGGAATTCTCGGAAGGTGGGTAAGCACGTTCCGAGATGAATCACGTCTCCCCAGGCTGACCCCACAGGCCTGGGGTCCTGATAATCCCTCCTGGGCCTGTTCTGCCCACAGGGTGGAAGCAAAACTGTCAGAAAAACCTTTGAGATCTGGGGTAATTAAAGGTGGTTTTGAACCTTCTGGCCAAGTATTTCTGGAAATCTGCTCTTCGAGGCTGTCAGCTGGTGGGCTCCAGCTCAGAAATTCATCTCCTGTGAGCGAGCCGCAGCCGTGTGCACTGCTGTTGCGAATACAGCTGGTTCTGTCTCATTAATCCAACGGAGGCCAAGCATGGGGCAGCCACTCTGGCAGCAGGTCTCTGAGGCCAGCGAGTCAGCTTGCAAATGAGCCTTTTCAAGCTCCCACCAGCCATCAGAGGCTGGGGACTGAGCCTCGGGGCTTTCCTCTTTGCCACACCTTTGCAGGTACTCCTCCTGGCTTATTTCCTCCTCCTCACCTTGGTGCACTTGCTCAGCTGCCCATCAGTCCTCCGGGTACCGTCAGCTGAGGGCTTAGGACTGGGCTGGGGACGGTTCTAAATGCTGGGATGGTTCTGAGGAAAATTATGCCCTTCTCTTCAAAGAGTTTATAATCCCACGAGATATGCAGATGGGGGACTTACCCCATTCCACAACGACCGACCTGCGACCTGCGTGGAATGGGGTAAGTCCCGGGAATGCGGGTGTCAAGGGCACCAGAAGGAGGGAAGCTTGGCTGCTGCCCCAGGGGTTGGGGCTCATGTCCCCTCGTGGTGTCTGAGGTGGGCCCTGCAGAACAAAGACTCCAGCAGGTGGAGACGGCCTCGTGGCCCTCTGTCTGGCGAGGACCCGCTCAGGCTCATGACATTTCTGCTTCATTTTAAAATCTCAGCCATTGTGCGCCATGTTCCGGAAAGGACAGCACTCAGCCTGCCCTCCTGGCGCCCCTGTCTGGCATGCGCCCAGCACACGATGCGCTCCTTGGAGGGGTAGCCGGACCACGTCCCCCGGGGAAGGCCGCTCCCACGTCCCCAGAACCTGCGGGTGTGTGTCCACATCCTAACCCAGGGCCTTGCAAGAAAGGACCTCGTGGGGATGATGAAGCCAAGGGCCTTGAGATGGGGAGGGCGTCTTGGTCTATCTGCACGGGCCCAGTGTCACCTCTTATAGGAGGGGGTGAAGGTGTGATGAGGGACTGGGTGGTGCGACAGCCGAGGGGGCGTCTCCGGAAGCTGGGAAAGGCAAGGAACAGGAGCCTCACCTGAGGTCCCCAGAAGGAACCACCTTTGCGAACACCTTGGTTTTGGCCACATCAGGCCCATTTCAGACTTGTGGTGTCCAGAACCGGAAGGGGGTAAACGCAGGGTTGGCAAAGATTTTCCATAAAGAGCCAGGGAGCAAATAACTTCGACTTTGCAGACCTGATGGGTTCTGTGGGAGCTGCTGAATTCTGTGGTTGGAACAGGGACGCAACCACAGGCCTGGACTGGGCCCGTATAGACTGGACAGACACTCGTATAGCTTTTCACAGCTCAAGCCCACGTAGCAGGATGACCTTATCCCCTGTACAGAGCGCCTGGGGAAGCTCAAGGGTTTAAAGTTTCAAAACCACCTTTAATTACCCTGGATCTCAAAGGCTTTTTTGGACAGTTTTGCTTCCGCCCTGTGAGCAGAACCAGCCCAGGAGGGATTACCCCCTTCCGGACGTACCTTCAGCCCTGGAGCAGGTGAGACATGCACAGCAGCGAGGGGAGCCCAGCAGACTCGCGAGCACGATCGGGCACGTGGAAGGCTCCCCTGTGGGTCATGGTGGGGCAGGGCTGGACAACAGCCTCTCCAGGGCGGCCAGTGCATGGGGCGCGGTGGCAAGATGGGGTGGTGGCACCCCCTCAGGCGGTGGCAGGGGAACAGGAGGAGGGGGTGGGCTTGGGGGTCGCCTAAGAAGCGGAAACTGAGGCGTGGTCAGCTCGGGCCAGGCAGACAGCAGCAAGGACGCGCGGCGTGGGACAACGGGCAGATGAGGTGCCATCAGTCGAGGGAGCCCAGAGAGAAGGATGTTCGGGCGAGAGGGGTCAGAGGACCGGTTTGGACTTTTGCTCTAAAACATCCGGAAAGTGAGCTCCCTGGGGAAAGCAGTGACAGCAACTGGAGGGCCCCTGCGTGGAGAGGCGGCCCGAGGAGACATGCAGGGGACCCTGTGCTGCGAGGGAGGAGGCCGAGACAGAACCCCGCAGACCTCACAGCCGCAGGGCGGGGGACTCGCTGGCTGCCTCTCCCCCGGGGCCCAGGCCTTGGCTGGTGCGGCTCCTTTTTCTCATTTTCCTCCCCATTGGACAGAGAGGATCCATCGCTGGCACCTACCGCCTCTCGGATGTTTCTGGGTAAACTGTATCCCGTTTTCACTAACCTCATTTGTGCTGAAGGCCCAAAACATGGACGTGGCTCCTGAAGGCCCTCGGAAACGCAGCACAAATTGACTTCGATCCCCCCGCCCGCTGGGTTGGGGAAGGTGTTCACAGCTGGATCAGAGACCTGGAGATTGATTTCCAGCCTCTCAAGTTCAGAGCCCAGAACGCCCGGGGTTGTGACTGCAGACAAACCGCATCCTGGCTGGGTCACCTCTGTGGAAGGAGAGGGCAGCCTCCACCAAAGCTTCCAAGGGGTCAGGTCGTTCACTTAGAGGCCCAGATTCTTGTCAGGAGCAAAGCCACCAAGAACGACGCACCTTGTAACGGCAATAACCTTCATGGATTTCTCTGCAGGGCCCAGGCCTGTGTGGGGACGAGTTGAAGGCCACGGTCTCTGCAAGCGTCACCACGGCCACTGGCCAGCCGCCCCAGCCACAGACTCCTTCCTTTTAAATTGTGCTAAGCAGTGAACAAGCCTCTTCCTCCTCACCTTACAGGTGGAAACAGCCAGGGCTCAGTAGGCCAGCTAATGAGTGTGTGTGACTCGAGAATGGAGGTTGGCTAAGGTTTTCCATAAAGAGCCAGGGAGTAAATAACTGCGACTTTGCGGGCCTGATGGGCTCTGTGGGAGCCACTGAATTCTGTGGTTGGAACAGGGAAGCAGGCAGAGGACAGGTGTGGCTGTGACGGACAGGTTTGCTCCTCCAGGTGGCTCCAGCCAGGCTCCTCAGCCCTTTTCTGGACCAGGCCTGGACTGGGCCTGTATAGACGGGACAGACACTCATATAGTTTCTCACAGCTCATGCCCACGTAGCAGGATGACCTTATCCCCTGTACAGAGCGACTGGGGAAGCTCAAGGCTGCCCCAAGAACCATCTGTTCCAGGCAGCACCTGAACAGGGCGCTGTGTCCCAGCCCCTGGGTCCTGTTAGCACCCAGCTGGTTTTGCAGGGACCCACCCCAGCTCCCTGCTTTGTGTCATCTTTCACTTCTCTGACTGCACCAAGCCCCTGCTCACCCTTCCTGTTGCCTCATCTCCCCTTCAAAGTGCCCAGTCACCTCTGCATGATGGACGCGTCCCTGCGGCCTCAGGGAATGCTGAGGGACCCTCCCCTGACCACCTCACCTCTGCTTATCTTTGATGTCCCCATAAAACATTACCGGTGGACTCTGAAGTTTGATTTCATGTAATTTTCAAAAGTCATGAAATGTTATTCTTTGGATAAAAAAGGAAAAAGAAAATGGCTAGCGCTGTTCCTGGCTTGTGGGGTGTCCAACAGCAGGTGGCAGCCAGGTCTGACCCATGGGTGGGCTGCAGCTGGCGCCCCTGTTGTGGAAACATGAGCTGTCGCGGGTCCTCCCGGCATGTTCAAGTCCAGGAGCCTGGGCCTTCTGCCGGCTCCGCCTGACTTCCCACCTCCGAGGGCTGGGCCCGGACCGGGGTTTGGGGTGCAGCCCAGTGTCGGCCATGCACTCAGGTGCCCTAGTGTCCAGGCGCCGAGCCCTGCTTTCTGGTGTTCTGCCACCAAAACCCAGCGTCGGGCGAGCTGGCCGTGCTGTGTCGAGCCGAGTGAATGCTGGTTAGCACCCAGCAGGCCGCGTTCTGGAAATAACCCCTCCTTATTTTTAACAGATGGTGTCTGGTTTCTCCCAGAGTGGGTCCCCCAGGCCACAGATACAAGCCAGAAACCTGAACCTCTAGGTGTCCTTGGGAAACAGGACCCTCTGCCACGGCTCCCCACCGAATCCTCAGCACACTGCAGGGATGTGCTTTTTGCTTTCTCCTCGGGGTCCTCCCGGAGGCCAGGAGTTCTAGCAATTTCTATACACTGTGCCAGGAAAAATCTCGTTTTTTAAGACTTTTATTTCAAACCACAGTGACACTCTGCCCAGCTGAGGAAGCTCCTCGGGCCTCCTGAAGCCGAGGAGGGGGTGTCCCCCGCGGGGAGGGGCTGGTTACTTCCCCCCGGAGCACCGCAGCTGCTGAGTGGGCACAGGGCGTCCCGAGGAGGCTCCAGGACAGCTGCAGCCCGTCCAGCGAAGGCCACTGGCGCCGGCGGCTGGGGGCCGGCGAGGAGTTGGGGGGCCGGGAGGGCGGGGCGAACAGCTCCCGGCGGCGTTATCAGGCTCTGGGGCCTCCCCCACACCTGCGCACCTGCCAGGCCTCTCCCCGCGCGGACAGGTGGGCCTGCCAGGTCCACCTGCCCAAGCCCGAGGGAGCCTGTCGCCGCCTGGAAGTTCGCCCTGGGTGGGGCAGGTGGGACGGGACAGACAGACAACTCCTGGGGGTCCTCTCAGAACGTTCTGAGCTGGGCGGGGCTCCCGGGGGGCGCGCCCCGGGGGTCGGGTGGCCTAGTGCTCGTGCTCGGCGTCCATGCAGGACTCCCAGGGGTTGCGGGGCATCCGCGGCAGCGAGCAGGCCAGCAGCGCCAGGCCCCCCAGCACCAGCAGGGCGCAGGCGGCGCAGGCGCAGGCGAAGGACCAGGCGTAGCGGTGCTGCATCCACGCGGTGTCCTCGCTGGCCACCATGCGCGCCACCGACTGCCGCATCACCTCCACCGACACGAAGATGCAGAGACCTGCGGGCCGGGCGCTTCAGGGCGGGGCTCGCCGCACCTGTGTCTGCTGGGGTTCCGCCCTCGGAGAGGGGGTGACCCAGCCTGGGGGGGCGCCTGGAGACCGGGGTTCCAGCTGGGAACCTGCGCAGGTAACCCCGCCGCCTGCGCCCGCTTCTCCATCAGGTGAGCGCTTCCTTCCCGGGTCAGGAGGGTTGTTTTTCAGGTTAGACTTCTGCCCGCGAGTGGCCCTGTCCGTGCCGCGAGGACCAGGACTGTGCGAAGTGGACACACCGCCCCCCTCTCCCGCCTCCCCCCACGCCCCAGACTCGCGGGGGGCCTGAGCCAGTCGGCCTGGTGGAGCCTGGGACTGCACCCCGACTCTGAACTCCAAATCTGAGGTTGCCTGAGGAGGGGCATATCTCCCCCCTCCCCCTGCACGACCCCCTAGCCCCAGGCAGGAGCCCCCCTTCTACCTGCAAAGGCGTAGAACATGGCCGCGGGCCTCAGCAGGTAGTCCCGCCGCTTCCTGAGGGATAGGAGCACGCACAGGGTCCCCAGGATGATGAAGCCCAGGCTGAAGATGGTGATGGCGGCTGCCGAGATGCTGTAGTCTGCAACACAGGGGGGAGCCCAGTCCCCAGGCTCAGCCCGCTCCTCCCCGGAACCTCCTAGCAGGCTGGTTGCACCTCCAGACAGGTGAGTGACACCCCTTTGCCCATCTCCAGGTGCGGAAGGGGAGGGCCTGAGAGAGCAGATCTCGCCCCAGAGTTACACAGGGGTTGGGGTGGGGCCCGGAGGCTGCCACCACCTAACGCCACCGCCCAGGTCTTCCGGGAAGTACCACAGGGCAGAGGCCTAGAGGAGGCTGGGGCCTTTCTGGAGCAGAATCTCCGTCCCTCCAAGTGACAGGGCCAGGGGAGGCCCTGGGCTCGTCTGTCCTGGGGCTAACGCGCAGGTAGGGGCAGAGTGTGGTGTGTTACAGAGCAGCCTGTGTGGGGTCTGCCCACGTGTGCATGTGTGTGTGTGTGAGTGCGGAGCCTGTCAGCGCACCTCACATGTGAGTGGTCTGCCCATGTGTGCTGTATGTGTCTGTCGGTACGAGTGTGTCAGCACATGTGTGTGAGTGTGTGTGCATCAGGGCATGTGTGAGTCTGCCAGTATTGTGAGTGTCAATGTGTGTGTGTCTGTCAGTGTGTCAGTGTGCTTCAGTGTGTGTCTGTCAGCGTGTGTGTCATTGCGTGTGTCAGTGTGTGCGCCTGTCAGTGTGTGCGTGTGTGTCAGTTTGTGTGTGTGCATCTCTCAGTGCATATCAGTGTGTGTCAGTGTGTATGTCAGTGTGTGTGTGAGTGTCAGTGTGTGTGTGCACGTGTGTGCCCACACCCCGTGCACACGCAGAGGCAGGTCTGCACCCATCAGCTTCACTGTGTGTGGAGGTGCCTCTGCCCTCCATGGTCCACAGAACGCCCCCAGGGCACACATGCCCCTGGACCGGGTCTTCCCAGCTCTCCTGATTCTGGGGGGTGATTTATAGGCGAGGGAGGGAACCAGACAGTTCCCCTCACAGACTGACCCCCTGGCCCTGAAAGCCGCGCGGGAATTCTGAGCACCAGTCCGTCTTCAGAGTTCCTGTCACAGCCGCCTCCCCTGGGCTGTGGGAAGCGCGTTCCCCCTGCGGTGCCCGAGGCTTCCAGGAAATGTCTCTTTTCCGAAGGCTCCCAGGCCCTGATGAATGGAGGCTCGGGTCGCCAGGAGAGGGGCCCCCGCACCCCTGAGCAGAGGGTGACAGGAGGCTCGGGAGAGCAGGGAGGTCGGGACTTTGTGCCAAGTGATTTTCTGGCTCAGCGGCCTGTGACAGAAGCCACTTCTGCTCCCCCTCCCCGGCCCCCCGCTTTCCATTACGGGCTCACCTTTCTGAGTGGTGACTTCGAAGATCTCCGAGCTCTCGCCTGGATTAAAATGCCTGAAGTAGGAACAGTTTTTCTCTGCAGAGGAGAGAGCCAGCCTGTGGTTAGAGGAAGGGCCTGCGTCCGGGAAGAGCGGCTGACAGAGGGCAGGTGCCAAGCGGGGCGGGGGGCAGGGGTGGAGGGACTCCTGGCTGGCTGTCTTCCCCGAGCCCCTTGTCTGGGGTGAAACTAACACTTCTCTGACCCTCAGACCCAGATTTCAGTAGGGTAAGGGGGTTGCCTAGGAAGCTGGGAGTCTGACTGAGGCAGACTGAACTGAGGGGTATTCGCTGTCACCAGGTGCCAGGTGTGTGGCCAGGCCAGCCCAGCAGCGGTTCTCAGCCAGCCTGAGTCTGCGCCCAAGGGGGATGGCTGGGGACATTTCTGGTGTCACAACTGGGTAGGGATGCAACTGGCATCTAGTGGGTAAACGCCAGTGATGCTGCTATGCTGCTAAGCACCCCTTTATGTGCAGCAAAGAACCATCCAACCCCCAAATGTCAGGAGTGCTGGGGTGGAGAAGCCCCAGATCATACCCGAATCTCTGGACGTTTCTTATCAGCATCCAGGCCCACCTGATGCGCTGTGAGTGACAAGGGAAGCAAGCAGTGCTTTCCAGAAGCTTTTAGGAGGCAATTCAGATGCCCAGCCAGGTTGGGAAGCCCTGCTTCAGGCCATTTAAAATATCCCAAAGTGCTTTTCTGAGTGGACTGTCTGCATGGACTTGGCTGCAGAGCCAAATGTCCCATTGTGTGATTTCATCAAGCCTCAATACCCATGGCCACAGAGGCAGCGGGTCCTCCATAGTGAGCTGCTTGGCCCACCAGACAGGTGTCAGAACAGACATGAAAATCTGGGGACAATAGCACCAAAAATCTGGGTTTGATGGAGGAGAGAGGAAGGACTCAGAACAGAGACATTCACACAGATTTTTAATATAATTTCAGGCATTGTGTCTCTTCCTTTTTTCTCCCCTAGTTTCTCTTACAGTTAGACATATTATAAAATCAAAATCCTATTATTTATAAAATACAGTTTAATATAGTTTATTCCCAATTTAGGAAGTCAATGAATGAATTATTTTTTATTTATGTTTCTTTAAAAAATTAAACTAGGTTGCTTTTTACTTATGTGAGGCCCTTCATTGATTTCTTTTTTGGGTGGGTTCATGTCCCTCAGTGGAAAATGTCTCTGCCCCTAGAGACCCCTAGGGTCTCTAGTTTCATTTTTTCACCTCCAAGCTACCTTTCAGTGATCACAAGGGGGTTGCTGCCTAGTTTGGGGGTGATGTGCCCCTCTAGTGTTGCCAAAGTCCTAGCTTTCCTGGATGCAGGCTTCCTTTTCTCTCTGACCTAAATCATCTCATTGCCTATTTAGGCCTGTAGCCCCTCCACCCCCCAGTATCAGGGGGACTTGCCCCTCGGTTGAGGAAGAATTGATTCCTGGGGAAGGAACACAGTCATCAACTTGTGCTTCTCTATATATTTTCATTTTATTTTATTTTATTTTAAAAATTTATTTATTTATACAAGAACCAGGGTACAGGCCAGATGTACAGGAGGGTGAGAGGATTCACCAGAGACAGCGGGGAACAGAACAGGCAGATTGACTGAAATACACTCTACTGAGGGGAGCAGCGGGCAAGTCAGGAGAGGTCTGCTGCGCCATGTGGGTATTGCCACGGCCGGCGGGGATTGAACCGGCACTGCAGAGGCTGCGGACAGCTTCACAGCGCTGCACTCAACTGCCTGTGCCACCAGGGAGGCCCTAAATTATTTTCATTTTAAACAGTTACTTGGGGTGTCTGCCTGGGGTGTGTGGGGCAATGTCAGAACTGATGCTGCTTTTTTCCCTCACAACTTTGGGTGCTATTTTAATGCATAATGCAAAGCTCTTACATTTGTTAGATTATTAGCTATAGATTCCCCTGAATCACTGCTTCAAAATGGCCCGTGCTAGGTCCGATGTCGCCATGTGTCCCCCTCTGGACAAAGAGCATTTCTGTTTCATTCTTTATTTTTTTTAAAGATTTACTTATTTATGCATACAAGAGCTGGGGTACAGGCCAGAGAGATGCGGGGGCGGTGAGAGGATTCACCAGAGACAGAGTGGGGAGCAGAACAGGCAGACTTACTGAAATACACTGCTGAGGGGAGCAGCAGGTGAGACAGGAGAGGTCTGCTGCGCCATGTGGGTCAGCTCCCTGGCTGGTCTGGGATCAAACTCGTGCTCAGAGGCTGCGGATTGCTTCATTGTGTGGTGCTTAACCCCTTGAGCCACCAGGGAGACCCCTCTGTTTCATTCTTTAAAGGCCAATTTCTGTTGTCATTGAAAACCCTCTGAAAAGATTGGCTGAATTCAAGTGTATTTCACAATCAACTGCCTCCCTGACCACTCGCAGCACGTGAGTTAAAAGCCTTCGGAGCGAGGGCTTCCAGATGCAGGTCCAGTGGAGCTGGCCCTGGCCATGCTGTTGGATGAGTCTGGGTCGCTGTAGCCGCTCTGGGCAGGTGCTCATCACCCCACCAGCTGAACACCGGGCTTCACTGGACAAACTGCCGTTACTACTGGGGCTGGAATAAACCTGTCCTAGCTCATACCTCGGGGAGACTGCAAGCTGGGGGGCCAAGCTGCAGATTTGGTGGTGGGGGCTGGGTTCCCTTCCATGACCCAGGCACTGTGGTCACTATCTTCCCCTCCTCTATTAAACGCTCTCACACCTGGGGGTTGGGGGGCATTCATGGGGGGCAGCTCCCATTCAGAGTGTCTGGAGCCCCAGCTTCTTTCTGTCAGGACTCTCCCTTCTCTTGGACTTAGCAAATGAGGAAGGGCAGTGTCTTCTTCCCTGAACCCTGGAGGAGCATCACTGCCCAGGGGAGACCACCAGCCCCTTCATGGTCCCTGAGGGTCCTGGCAGGAGTGAGGCACCTCAGACCAGGGCTTCGGATGCTTATGCAGGAGGAATCAAGCCAGGATCTGCCCAGGGCACTCGGGAATTGCTTGCTGAGATGGATATACTAAGCCTTGAAGGGGCCTCCCTGGTGGCGCAAGAGGTTAAGACCCAGCACTATGAAGCTATCCACAGCCACTGCAGCACGGGTTCGATCCCCAGCCAGGGAGCTACCCGCATAGTGCAGCAGACCTCTCTTGTCGTGCCTGCTGCTCCCCTCAGCAGTGTATTTCAGTGGCTCTGCCTGTTCTGTTCCCCACTCTGTCTCTGGTGAATCCTCTCACCCCCCACACCTCTGGCCTACACCCCAGTTCTTGTATGCATAAATAAATAAATCTTAAAAAAAAACAAACCCAAAAAACAAAAAACTGAGCCTTGAAGGCAGCCTGAAAAGGAAGGACATCAAAATGGGCCCTTTGTGAGTTCCTGGGCTGAGAGGAGACATGGCACTTCTGTGTGGGGGTTCAGAGCCTTCTGGCCTCAGTAATTCCTCCAGCACCTGCCTGGCCTCTGCCACCCTTGCGCTGAGCTCAGGCCTTCAGCTCTGCCTCGAGGGGCCCCGGCCCATTCAACGGCCAGGAGAAGCAAGTGCTTCAGTCCATTTTGGGGGGAGATACAAGCTCCAGGGGACAGTCTGGAACCATGGTTAAGAGCACTGCGGTCCTGCCATCGCCTTTGTCTCTGCAAATGACTCATGGTGATTTGAATATGTGTGTTTCTATTGTTCTGTATTTCAGAAATGTTTCCTATGAACAGTCATAAGACTAATGGTCTAAAATTTAAGTTGGTTATTCCGTAAAACATTTGGTGAGCTCAGCTATTGGGCTTGACCCAGGTCTAAGTGTCTAATAATTCTGATTAAGGGGAATGAGTCCAGATCCATTTCTGCAGGGCCAGGTTTAAAGAACCAGACTAGAAAGTACACTTAACTCCAAGCTGAATTTGAGTTCATATGTATTTTTCTATTGTAGCTGGGACAGTTTGTGTGATTAGGGGATGTCACTGGGTTATCGCTGAGAATTTATCAGTGTATCTGGTATTGGTTGATGTAGACTTTAGTCTATTAAAATATACCTTATTGATTTATGTAAAACCACCTCCTCACTGGGTTATAGTATAAGGTAACTAAGAAGGCAAATTTTAGGGACAGATGACTGGACAGCTGTCCTGCCATGGTAGCTGTGTGACCTTGGTCAAGTGACTCAACTTCTCTGTGCCTCATTTTCTCCATCTGTGAGATGGCATAATGATAAAAGTATGGACCTCTTAAAAGCCTTTATGAGAATTATGTCCCTTCATGTACTGATGTCACCCCAAAGCCCTGGCCACCATGATTTGTGGGGAAAACCAGCTGTTAATCTTAGTAAGCATCCTTTGTGTGTGATGACTGTCTTTTTGATGCCTCCAAGATTCTATTTGTGAACAGTTCAATTATATACCTCCGAGTGGATCTCTACTCAGAGTTCATTAAGCTCTGTGCATTTATAGATTAATATTTTCCATCACATTTGGAAATTTTGTGCCATTATTTTTCACATATGGACTCTGCTCCTTTCTCTTCTTCTCCCCTTCTGGGACTCCCCATCATGCATTTGTGGGTATGTCTGATAGTGTCCCGCAGGTCTCTAAGTCTCCCTTTTTTTTTTTTTTTTACATTTTTTTTCTCTCTGTTAACTCAGTTGACCTAGCTTCAAGTTTATCTTTTCTTTCTTTTGCCTGCTCAGATCTGTGATTGAATCCCTCTGGTGAATTCTTCATTTGAGTTACTAAATTTTCCAACTCTAGAATTTTAATCTCTTTATTGATACTCTATTTCATGAGACATCATTACTATCTTTATTTTAATTCTTTAGACAGGGTCTCTATTTTCTTTGAATGTATTTAAAATAACTGCTTCAACTGCTTATTACAGCTAAGCTTTGGAAACAACCTAAATGCCCAAAAATAGATGACTGGATCAAGAAGATGTGGTACATATACACCACGGAATATTACTCAGCATTCAAAAAAGATAAACACATGCAATTTGCAGCAACATGGATGGCGCTGGAAGGGATCATGCTCAGCGAAATAAGCCAAAAAGAAAAAGAAAAATACCGGATGGTCTCACTCATAGCAGGAATCTAGAAAACTTAAATAAGGGACCAGGAAAATGAATAACTATAAGAAAGTGAAAATCAAAATCAACAAAAAACTATGAACCAGAGACACTCTATGGGGAGTGGGAGGGGGGGAGAGGAGGGATTGGGGTCAAAATAAGGGGATTGCAATTGTATGGGGAATATAAAAATAAAATTTATAATAAAAAAAAAGAAAGCAATATAGAACACATTTCCAGGTATGTTCGAAGAAGCCATAAAAAAAAAATAACTGCTTTAAAATTTTTGTCTAGTAAGTCCAACATCTGGGCTTCTTCAGGGAATAGATAATTACTTCTCTCCTACCTCCACCATGTGTGAACCATACATTTTTCATTCTTTGCTTGTCTTACCTATATTTTTTGTAGTTGTGAAAACTTAACCATTTAAACAATACAATGTGGCAGTTATGGAAATCAGATTTTTCTCTTTCCTCATAGTTCATTCCTATTGCTATTTGTTGTTCGTTTCGTGTTTTTTTCTGAATTAGTCACATGTGGCCATTGACATCTCTGCTCAGTTACTTGGTAGTCAGCTCATGCAGATTCCCTAAAATGCTTGGAACCAATTTATCACCCAGTTTTACTGAGGTGTTCTGTGCTTGGAAGCCTTCTACGTCAAGGTAAGCCAGAGATGAGCATGTAGGGTTTTCTCTGGTCCTTCCTGCACATGCACATGTTGATCTAGATTCATAGGGTATTTGGGACATCTGCCACCTGTGGGCATCTCATTCTCCTGCTTTTTGACTAGCCTATTGTTTACCCCAATTGTTACCTACTGCCCCTGGCAGTTGTGATATTAAACAATGGTCACTAATTGGTTTTGCCAAAGGTCTTCTTTTGACAGAGAGCTGTTGGCAAGAATGAGGTCAGAATCAGGCCAAACAAAGACTACTTTGCAAGTGGGAACTTCCAACTAACTATAAGACAGATCAAATAATGATATTTCTGTGGGAATGAGATTTTGAAAGAGATCCAATCCTGTTCTGTCCCCTCTGAAAGCTACCCGGGTGCTGGTTTTTACTGTGATTGTAGTTTGCTGGGTTTCAAGGCTGAGACAGAGCTGGGGAGGAGAGGATGGGAAAAGAGCAAATTCTAACACCAGAAACTCACCGTTCTTACAAAAACACAGTTATTTTTATTAAATAAGCACAAGCTGAATTGCTGTAAGATGGCTATATTGCAGAATTCTGAAAAAGTTGAGCCTGACCATTTTTGCTAACATTCTCATTGTTTTTATGGAGAAGAGTAGTCTTGCAAGTTCTTACTCTGCCAATTTTTTTTTTTTGATGTCATCCAAAGTTAGTATATTTAAAGCTCTTAACACAATGCTTGGCAGATAATGCTATATGCAGGTTTGTTGTTATTATTGTCATTATAAATAATAAATAAGAGAACATGTATGAACTATATTCCTCCCTCCAGCAAAAAGTGATCCCATGGGGCACAGGATGGGTGGGTAGGGAGGAAAAGACCCACTTGCATAGAAAGGAGAGGCAGGAGGGAAGAAACACACTTTGGAGCTTGCTTGGGGTTAGGGAATGTGCACAACTGTGTGGGGTGTGATTCATTCTGGACCAGGGCAGGGAGGCATAAAGGTGGATGGCTCAGGCTCAAAGCCAAGTCATGCCTACTGGTCCCCTGTAACTGGTTCAGTCACCTCCTGCTATTCTGTCCCTTCCTTGTATAGATTTAGCACACCTCCCCGCTCATCTGCTCTGTAAGCTCACCAGGCTTTAAAAGGTAGGCGCTTCCAAGGACAGGTGGGCAGGCCATGACGGCGTGGCCCATGCTTGGTCCCTGGAGATGTTGCCACGCCCTGTCCTGCCCTGGGCAGTTGGTTGGATGATTCGTCTGTTTAGGGGTGTGCACAGCTGTGGCCAGGGGCATGGACATCTAGGCTAATGATACCCTCCAAGCATGTGTCCGTGCTTGCTAAAGCCGTCAGCCCTGGGGCTCTCCTTTCAAGACAGTTGGGTATTTACAAGTCTTCCGAGTGTCCAGTGGGAGTGAGCAAGGCAGGGGTTTCCTGGAGCCAGCACTGGGGACTCAGCATTGACTTACTTGGAGGGAAGGGTTCGGAGAACTCCTGGTGTTTTCCTGAACACCCCCTTTTCTGGCCCACTGCACATTTATAAGCACTGGAAGGCACTTTATTGCTGAGCCCAAGCACTGGGTGTTACAGAAGGACGCAGAGGCAGCTGGGGGTTTGTTGCCCACCCCTCCATATTCACTTAAGGGTGTCATGGGCAATGCATCATAGAGCCCAGAACTCTGGTTCTCAACACAGGGCTCTTTCCTCAGCTATGAATGTAGAGGGCTCCATATTTGCAGCATAGATACTAATGGCTCACTACCAGGAATTCTCAGCAAGGAGCATTCGATGCATGGCTGAGCAACAGGGTAGGAAATCAAGGAATGCTCTTAAATAGTGCAGGAAATGCTCTCTAACTCTGAAGGGGTCTGAGCCATGAGAAGACATGCAGAAGGGCTAATGGGTCTGACAAAAAAGCAGGCGGCTCGTCTTAGCCAGGTCTTGCTCCTCCAACATGCTCCCTGTGCGGCTGCTCAGCCCTGCACTCGGAGACCTCCAAGAGCGCGATGCTTGGTGTCAGGCCCTGCAGGCGCCATCTTGAATTTCCTAATAATAGTAATAACAAGGAACTCTGCAGTTTCCTTTTGCACTGGGCTCTGAAAATTCTGGTGCCTACACCCCAGCCTGGAGCCTAAGGAATGACGAGGCCAATCCCATGGGTTTGGTCCTCACAGTCCCCTGAGGACACAGGGCCACCCAGCCTGTCTTTACAGGGCATACCCAAGAGAGCGACCACTGGAGCCAGAAGCCCGTAGTCTGGCAGATTCTTGTTTGCTCTATTGAGCCTTTTGTCCTACCTGCCCAGACCCCCGGGGTGTAAAGCTCCCCACCCCCAAGCCTCAGCAAAACAGGAATAGCTGGAGAAAAATGCTCCCATTTTTATAACCCGGCTCTGGCCTCCAGCACAACCAGAGGCAACTCAGGGCCTCTGCCCGGAGCAAGGGGGCTGGGCGGTGGCTCTGTGCTGAGCTGGGGGATCCCACCCTTTCCCACGGGGGCAACCTTCCCAGAGGTGGGCATGGGCACAGAGTGGGTACGTTACCCCCAGGCAGGGAGATGGGTCCGCAGCTCTTGTCCCTGCTGTCGATCACGGCAATGCGCTTGATACAAAGGCGCCAGAGGCCGAAGTGGGCCACCTGGCAGGTGCCATTCTGGTGTTCCACCCGGGGGCTCAGCACGGCCCAGTGGTCTGTCACCGTGGCCACCATGGCCAGTACGATGCCCGCCAGGATGCAGACGAGGGTCCCGCGGACCTTCAGTGTTTTGGTCTGGGACATGGTGGCCGCCGGGCGAGGGCTCGGGGCGCTCGGTCGGTAGCAGCGACTCTGGGGCAGGTGGCGGTCAGGCTGGGTGGTGGCGGCCGCAGTGCTGCTGGAAGCTAAGTTTAGTGAGCCCAGCTGAGCCAGAGTGGGCTGGCCTTGGGGCTGAGGGACACTGGATGGGGCTGAGCAGCTGCCCAGACGTGTCAGGGGCCTGAGGGAGGCTTCTATTAATGCATCGCTGAGGATGGCTTCTGCTCGGGTTTCAGGGCTTTCTTCCCCTTTTGGAGCCAGAAATACCCCAGGGTGGGGTGAGGATCGGAGGTGCTAGAGGGTGATTTGAGACCTCCTGGGGCAGCAGCTCAGGACACCTGAGCTGGGAGCCGCTGGGAAGACACCAGGTAGGGGGTCGCCTGTCTGTTCTCTGCTGGATGAGGGCAGGGGCCTGGGGGCTCAGACTACCCAGCCGTCTGTGCTCACACTGGCCTGGCAGAGCGGGGTGACTGGGTCCTTGTCTTCACGGTCTGGGGGACTCAGGATTCTAACTAGGGGCTTCTCAGGGATCCCCTGCCCGGGGCTGCTGGAGCCAAGCACCCAGGCCTGAGCTCCGGCCCCGAGCCCCACCACATCCTCTGAAATGCAGGAGGATTTTCGGCGGCTCCCAGGCCTGGCATTACCCAATGCTGTGCCCAGCAGGAGAATGTTATTTCCTTTTTGATTCTCTTTCCATCCTTCCAGTAACATCCAGAAGAAAAGCTTGGGGCTAGTCTTTAACACTTTCGACACTTGTAAATCAAATAGAACAGAGAGGACAAGAACGTGGCTGGACTTGAAGAGGGTTCTGTTTTCATGGGAGTTTTCTTTTCACCGTCCGTCAATGGCACGTTATAAAGCGTTTCCAGTTGTGTCTTTATTTACTAAAGAAATATATTTAAGTAAAAAGCAACAAAAGTAGGTTGATTTCCAGGTGACTATTAAGAGGCTATTAAGAGGTTGATTTCCAGGTGACTATTAATAGGGGTGCAGAAGAAGCAGAGGTGGTGTGGTAGTTTGGGAACCACCACCCCAGGGTCCTGCCACCCACGTCCTGTACCCTGGCCCTCAGCTGGTACTCCAGCCTCCAGCTCCTGCATCCCTCACCCCCACCCTCACCCGGCTCTGTTTACCAGATGCCTTTTTGGGGGTGAGTCCAAGAGGCTGATGATGGCCAGGAGAAACCCCTGAGCTGAGCAGGAATTGGCCCTGGGCACAGCTTGCAGAGAAACCCTGTGGGGACACAGGGCTCCCGCCTGGGAATCAGCATGCTCCTAGCGATGGTGAAAATTGTAATAATGACTCAGCTCAGTCAGTGCTCCCTAGAAGCCAGGCGCTCTGTGACGCCACCCCTGCAGGTAATGTTCACGCCGGTCCAGGAGGCGAGGACACTACTACCCCATTTTACAGATAAGGACACAGAGGCTCAGAGACATGATGTCACTTGTCCCAAGTCACACAGCAGGTCAGAGGTGAAGCCACGTTTCAGAACCCAGAGTTCAAGGGCTCATGGGGAGATTTGTGCTCTTAGAGGAGGAAAATTCTATTTTTTCTCTTTTCTCTAACTTCTTGGCTCCATCTTCTGCAACAAAAGACAGATTAACGAGAGAAAAGCAAACACATTTATTTCATCTAAGTTTTGTGTGACATGGGAGACTTGACATGGGAATGAAGAAAGGAAAAACTGGTTAAGCCTGAGCATTTACTGTTGGGCGTGAGGAGGGGTGAAGAGTCGTGGGGATATGGGATAGGGCAGTGAAAGGGCCTGGGCTAGTGTATAAGCTGGGGAAATGCAAGGTCTCTGCTTCTGGATCCTTCTCGTGTTGACAAGGATGCTCCTGTCCTCCAGGTACCCGAGGGCATCTCACCTGAGCGTCTTTTGCGCTGCTTCAGGGAAGGTCAGAAAGTCCGTCCTGCACCTGCTGTTTGCCAAATTCCTGCAGCTTAAAATCACGGAGGTGCCATATTTTGGGGTAGCATGTCCTGAACCCCACTGTGATCGATAAAAGAAACTGCGGCCTAGAGAGGGAAGTAACAAACCAGGCCTTCCCCACCCCTGGCAGTTACCTCCCAACCTGCAGGCTACCCGCTGGCCTCCCCCTTGGGTGATGGTCTCGGAAGCCCTTCTCTCAACTCTGCTGCCCTCTCTCCCTGCCCCACCCTAGCTCTGCTCCCCAGGGGGCTAACTTAACACAGCCGCCTGCTTCAGTTCAGAGGGACTATCTCCAGGCGGGAGGGCCTCTCCCAGAGACGCCTGGAAGCCGGGGTGCGGCTCATGCCTGTGTGGACCCAGTTTCGGGAGCCAGGCAACTGGGGCTCTCACGGGGTGCTGGGCAGCCCGTGGCCTAACCGTGGTGTGCCGCAGCAAAGCCAAGGACAGCAGAGAAGCATCTTGTGTTTTAACACAAATATCCAGAAAGAGGAGATATTAAGTGTAGCACTACCTGCAGATAGGTGTCATTTGAAGAAATACAGATGTTTTTGGTGTTTTGGGGCGCACTCAGCAGTACTCGACAGTACTGCAGGCTCCTCCGAGAAGCCAGGCTATGCCGTCCCCCAGTCGGGGGCAGGTTTGTGATGCAGGGGGGGTCCTGAGTCCTCTCACCCAGGGAGCAAAGGCATTAAAGATTGATGCCTCTTCCTTTTGAAGCTGTGTTTGTGTGACTCTGCCACGAGTCTGGCTGCTCTGGGGGTTGCAGACGAGCCTGCCCTCTCCCCCCCCTTCACTCTTCAAACAGACCTTTCCTGTTCATGGAGGCCATGCCCTGCTCCGCTGCCCTGGTCTGCTGGGCCAGGAAGGGGCTGGGTGGACACTGGTATTTGCTGGGAGCTGGGGGGGGGGGTGCTGTTTGCGTCTCGGTAGAGGCCTGCCCTGTCCATCGCCATCCCAAGAGCGTATTTTATGGCGTGGGAACCAGCTTGCAGCCAGAGCGGCTCTGAGACTCAGACCCTGCTGTGCTGGCCTCCAGCTGTGTGGCTTCCAGCCAGGCGTCACCGCTCTAAGCTGCCCTTTCGACATCTGTAAAATGGGGGTGGTGGCACCCGGCTGGGGGCTGGCACAATGATCAGAGGTCACGCATTTTACCAGCTCAGCCTGCAGTCGCTGTGCCCCCCAACCCCAATCCACATGTGGGAGCCCCGACCCCAAGGTGAGGATATTTGGAGGTGGGTCTTTGGGAGGTGAATAGGTTTAGATGAAGTCCTGAGGGTGGGGTCCTGCAGGGTGGGGTCAGGGCCCTTCGGAGAAGAGACCAGGAGGATGGTCACATGAGGGTGGTCACATGAAGATGCAGCCAGAAAGTGGCCAGTGAGCTGCACCCCGAACTCAGACCTCCAACCTCCAGAAATGTGAAGAAATAAATATCTAGTGGGTTGAAGTCCCTCCATTCATGGTATTTTGTTACGGGAGCTGGAGCTGACTAATACAGCAGGTAATGGACCCAGGGTAGCCACTGCTGCTGGTATTAATTATTAATATTATCTACTATTAATAATAGATGGGCCAACTTTCTCTCCTGACTTACAAGCTTCTGGGGGGTCGGGATGGTGAGACTGTATTACTCCTCCTGAGCCCCCTCAGAGAACCCAGGATCTGAGCCCAGGATAGAAGCTTCATAACTATATGTTGAACGACTGTTGGAGCAGAGGACAGACAGATGGACTGGAAGAAGAGGATACAGGCCAATTAGTTTGCTCTGCCAGATGATCCAAAGGACGTTTCTATGTGGTTTAAAGCCATGGGGACAGACGAAGTGGCAGCTGGGGCAGAACCAGCACGGCTACCATGCCTGGGTGCTGAGGGTCCCTCTGGGAGGCCCACCGTCACCTCACTTCTGTGATCAAGTTCAAAAAGAGAGCCGTCTCCTGAGACATTTTCCAGTCTTCAAAGTCGAGACACCGTGCTCAGTGAAGCAGGAGCTGTCTGAGTTGGGTTTATTTTTTTAAACTTATTTTACATATTTTTTACATCATTTTTCATTTTTGCACAATGTATGCATCTTCATCTTGGTTATAGTCCCTGTAAATTCCCCACCCCCCTTGTTTTGATCCTACTGCCTTCTCTCCCCCTGCAGTGTGTCTCTGGTTTATAGCTGCTTGTTGATTTTGATTTTTACTTTATCATAATTAGTCTTTTTCCTGGTCCCTTATTTAGGTTTTCTAAATTCCTGCTATGAGTGAGACCATCCCGTATTTTCCTTTTTCTTTCTGGCTTATTTCTCTGAGCATGATCCCTTCCAGCTCCGTCCATGTTGCTGCAAATGTCTGCGCTTTACTTGTCCCGATGAGCCAGTTTCCATTTGTCCCAAACGACTGCCCTTTCCCCAGCTTGACCAGATGTAACCAGGGAGCAAAACATCTCCGGAGATGGCCGCATTCTGGGCCTGGCCCAAGGCATCCTCCTTGGTCCTGTGCTGACTTGATTGTAAGCTCAGGCTTGGGGAGCTGAAAAATGGCCTCAGGGCCTTGTTCCTAAGCTATTATCAAAAACAAGCACCAAGCAGGGCTTCCCCGGTGGCGCAGCGGTTGAGCGCTGGGTTGCGAAGCTGCCCTCAGCCTCTGCAGAGCCGGTTCGATCCCCGGCTGCTCCCGGCCCCTGGAGGAGGGTCCCACATGGCGTGCAGACCTCTCCTGCCGCCCGCTGCTCCCCTCAGCAGTGTGCTTCGGTCCTTCTGCCTGCTCTGCTCCCCGCTCTGGCTCTGGTGAATTCTCTCATCCTCCCGCGCTTCACCAAGCAACCCCTTAGTGCCACTTTATCTCCCGTCCTGAGCCCTTCACCTCGGGCCCTTGGGTGCGCCATGCTAACTGCCCTCGACGCCAGTGAACTGAAGAGGAGGAGCGCACGGGGCTCTTAAGGAAAGCGCACGTCCTCCCCGGGCCGGCCGGCGTGAAAACCTGATCCGGCTTTGCTGCACTGCCTGCGGCCTGTTCTCTTGCTTTCAGAGCACAGGGAAGATCTGCGGAGCGGGTTATGGTGAGAATGAAACAGTTGTGTGTGTG